CTGCTCATGGATCAGCAGAATTAAAATTGTCAAAATGGCAATATTCCCCAAAGCATTGTACAAATTCTCTGCGATCCCTATAATGATACCCATAACATTCTTCAAAGAAATGGAGGAAACATTCCTGAAATTCAAATGAAACAATAAGCCCCCACAAATAGCTAAAGGAATTCTTGGGGTAAAGAAAATGGGAAAAATCAACCTCCCCAACTTCAAAGTCTTCTACAAAGCAGTAATAATTAAAACAGCATGGTACTGGAACAAAGAGCTGCAGACCAATGGAACAAGGTTGAATATACTGACATCTCCCCCAAAACATATGATCATCTAATCTTTGATAAGGGAACAAGACATGTGAAGTAAAGAAAGAAAGCCTCATAGACAAATTTTCTGGCAAAACTGGACAGCTACAAAAAACTGGGCTTAGTTCTCTGCCTAACACCATGTACAAAAATAAGATTAAAATGTATTAAAGACCTCAACATCAGACCAGAATGTATAAGGTGCATTGAAGACAAGGTTGGCAAGACGCTCAACAACATTGATGCTAACAGTATCTTCAAAGATGACACACCACGGGTCAAGCAAGTGAAAACAGAAATAGACAAATGGGACTATATTAAACTAAGAAGCTTTTGCACCTCAAAAGAAACAGTGACCAAAATACAAAGACAGTCTACAGAATGGGAAAAGATATTCACCCAATACTCATCCAACAAGAGGTTGATATCAAGGATATACAAAGTACTGCCTGAACTCCACAAGAAGAAAACTTCTAACCCCATAAAAAAGTGGAGAAGCGAAACGAACAAAAACTATCTCAAAAAGAAATCTGAATGACTTAAAAGCACATGAGAAAATGCTCTACATCATTAATCATTAGGGAGATGCAGATCAAAACAACAATGAGATATTACCTCACACCACAGAGACTGGCCCACATCCAAAGAAAAAAAGCAACCGTTGTTGGCACAGATGTTGCGAGAAAGAGACCCTCCTTCATTGCTGGTGGGAATGCCGAGTGGTTCAGCCCTTTTGGAAAACAGTATGGGCGAATTCTAATTTCCAGAGTCAAAATCTGGAAAAAACCCGAGTGCCTGAGAACAGATGAGTGGTTAAAGAAACTTTGGTACATCTACACAATGGTGTACTATGTAGCTGTTAGAAAAGATGAAGTCATTAAATTTACATACAAGTGATACTACATGGAAAGTATCACGGTAAGTGAAATGAGTCAGAAAGAGAGGGACAGACATAGAAAGATTGCATTCATCTGGAGAATATAAAGTAACAAAATAGGAGACTAACACCCAAGAATAGCCGAGATAAGTACCAGGAGGTTCACTCCATGGCTTGGAGGCCAGATAGGGGGAAAGGCAGCTCTGATAGAGAAGGGACCACCAAGTAAAGGGTGTTGTGAGAATCCTCCCAGGATGGGAGATGCATGCTGAAAGTAGACTACAGACCAAACATGATTGCCACTCAATGTCTCTTTTGCAAACCACAGCATCCAACAGAGAGAGAACAAAAGGGATTGCCTGTCACAGAGGCGGGGTGGGATGGGGGGCTGAAGGGGTGAGAGGGATACTGGGATCATTGGTGGTGGAGAATGGGCACTGGTGGAGGGATGGGAACTCAATCATTGTATAACTGAAACGCAAGCACAAAAATTTGTAAGTCTACAACTGTACCTCATGGTGTTTCACTAATAAAAATTTAAAAAAATGTTCCCCCTATATTCCCACATGGAAGCATTGTCCTTTCGTAAAACAGTATATCTCAGGCCATAGAACCTAGATTTCTGGAAACAGGGAACATGAATTTCTGCCTTTTTCCACTCATGGTGTTAATTTTAATGAATACTATCCCTTCCTTTGGTTCCCTCATTCTTGTGTTCTATTGAATGGTAATACTGCACCTATTAAGCAGTACTAAAGAATGGTCATTTACTTTCAGTATTTATCATATCCCATAGGTGGAACTGTATAATCACAAAATATCATCTCTGCATTGGTTGGGTAGTTGCTCCTTCAAAGGATTGTTTCATTAAACAGTTAGATGTTAAACCAGGGGCTTCTGAATGGTGTAAGCAACCTTTATTTGAATTTTTTTACAATTTTAGTTGAAATGAATCTGCTACTTCTAGAATAGAAAAGGCCCAATATGTCATAATCAGCTTTCCATGAAATGACTAGTTAATCTTGCTGAGGAATAGTGCTGAAACCGAAAGATGTTCAGCATTGGTCTTTTTTTCTGTTAGATTGGACCTCTCCTCAATGTTTCCATAGGTCAGGAAACAAATATAAATTGTGTGATCATTATAAAAACAGATGAATTCTACTAGAACAAAATAAAGGTGTTTTAATGCTTCAAAATGAAATGTTTTGAATAGGTTACTAGAAGTGTTGTAAATTGAAAGATTAAGAACAGGTTCTAGAAGTACTCAAGCTACATAAGATGGTCAGCCAGTGATGATAATAGAAAGTTGTCTATTAAAATGTCATAATTTGTCTATTTATTTTCTTGTCTTCCCTCCACACTCCATTTATCCCCTACCTTCTGAGTTTCTTTTCAATTTTAGCATCTTTTTTTTTTAAATAAAGACAAATTAGTTCGCCAAGTTAAGAATCCTTGTTTATTACCCCATCCCCTTTTTGTCTTTGTTTTTGGCATTACCATGGATCATACCCAGACACTAAACATGCAAAGCTTGTACTCTACCACTAAAAAATATCCTCAGCCTAATTGGCACACTAAAAGAATGTAAACCAATCAAAATTGAGAGAAGGGGTCACTATACTGGAGTTTTGTTTATCTCATTTTAAAAATTATAATAAAATGCATATCTTGCAGAGTGATAGGATTTTATAACATATTAATAAAGTATATTTGATAGCTACCAAATTTTATTGCTTCTTAATCAATCAAAGATAAGCTAAGGAGAGATGGATAGGCCTTCTATGCCTGCTTGTGTGCTTATTGGAAGATCTGACAGAGTCAGAACAAGCACTTACAGAAGATGAATTAGTAAAGATCTACTTCACATCCTACCAAAGAACTCACCAAGGTTGTTTGTTTGTTTTTGGTAGAAATTTACTCTGCATTTTATTTGATGTTACTTTTTTTTAAAGTAGTTTCTAGTTGTTTTACTTATATGTATTACTTACTAGATATTATGTACATATTTTTTAAAAAAGAAGTATGATTCTAAATATTATACAAAGTATAATATTTTTTAAAAAGAAGTATAATAATACTGTCTGATAGTTTAGTATGTTATTTATTTATTTATTTATTTATTTATTTATTTATTGCTTTTTGGGTCACACCTGGCAATGCACAGGGGTTACGCCTGGTTCATGCACTCAGAAATTACCCCTGGAGGTGCTCAGGGACCATATGGGATGCTGGGAATCGAACTCAGGTTAGCCGCATGCAAGGCAAATGCCCTACCTGCTAAACTATTGCTCTGGCTTGGTATTTTAAAATGGGTCTTTTTTTTTTTTCAAAAAACACATGTAAACCTGTGGTGTTTACTAACCCAAGTGTACCATTTTATTCTATTGTACCACAAAAACATGTGGTGGACATTTACCTGTTTGATAGTTTTTACTAGTTTAAATAATGCTAGAGTAAATTTTCCTTATACTTCTTGCATACACTCTAGAAATGGAAATTTTGGGTCAGGAGTCATGAAAACGTAATACTAATAGGATAAGGTTAGGGATTCCATAGTCAGAGGTAAGGATAATGACCAATTATTTGTCTCTCAGGGAACAAACCATAACTACAGAGAAATTGGGAAACACTGGTTTTAGAAGAGAAAGATTGTAATTAAATCAATTTACATTGTTGCAAGTGAATACAATGTAGTCCTTTGACAATAAGCTCATAAATAGATATTTAAATAAAGCAGAATTAGATTTAAACATTAGCTCTCCTTTATACTAACTGGATGGTACCAGTTTACTCAGATTTTTTTAATCTCATAAAACTGGAGTAAATAATATTGCATCATGGTGTTGGTATGTAGGTCAAATTAGAAACATGTAATCCACATATATTTGTATGTGATACATTTATATGTCCTGTCAGCCTTATTGTGTTGTACATAGCAAATACAAAATATCAGGTATGATTATTAAAATTTCTCAGAAGAGATATTTGATATCCCAACAGGATGTTTTATTTCAAGGGTTTCCTCACACCTCCTCATTTCTCAAAGAGAACAATGACTAGAAAACACTGGTTGGGTAAATACTACATTATCATAATTACAATTTCCTTGAGAAAAGTGGCTTGCAGTTTGAATATTCAGCATCATAATTACAATTTCCATAAGGAATGTAGAACCGTTATTATAAACAACACAATAATCACTTGGTCCATAAGGGAGAGGAGATTATTGGGGAAGTGAGGAGGGAGAAGAAGCAAAAAATGTATGATTTAATCAGTATTCAAGAGAAGAGGTATAGAACCTGAATAAATTATAATCGTCTCTTAAAATACTCTTGTCTAAAATTATCAAAATATCTCACAATGATGACAAATATTCATGTGTTGATGACAAGTATTCATGGGTGCTGTATACACATTTATATATACTTTAGCTTTATCAGTTTTCTGAAATTTCCTGTTTGTATTTCTAACTCATTGTCAAAGTTGTATACCAAAGACACTTTTAAAAAGACCATCACAAAATTAAAGACAAACAAAGTATTTAAAAATAGAAGAACTTTTTTTTATTTTTCAATTGAATCACCATGAGATACACAATTACAAAGCTGTTCATGGTCAGGTTCCAGGCATTCAATGTGAGTGAGGAAGAACTTTTTCATAGAATATTTTTCCATGACAAAATATGTATTCTTTGTTAAGTAAGTAAGTAAAATTTGTGGGATTTTTCAATGTTCTTTTAACTGTTGTGTTGCTATAAGTGGCTTTCACTTAAATTATTTTATTTTTCCCCTTTTTTGTTACTTTGTTTTGTTTTGCTTTAGGTGTGATCAGCAGAACAGAATGCAGCTTTCAAGGTTGGTACTTTTCAAGATGTTAAAGCATTTCTGATTATTATGAAACAGTACTAAGACACAGAGAATATTATGCACTCTTTTAAGAAAGTAATTAGAAAGTTTTAAGTTTTATTTTTCTCAATGATGGATAGAAGAACATAAGATAGATTATAAATGATTACAATACAACAATAAAATTTGTGGAAATTTTGCTAAAATTAAGTCTGACTTAATTCTGGTCAAAATTGTGAATTTGGAAATAATGCATTTTTTCACCTTATCCACCCAATTCATCTATTCATCCATTCATCCATCTATCCATCCACTGTTTTGTTTATCCACTTACCATTCTGTCCACAGCCCTGCATATTTATTTTTCAGTAAACACACAATATATACGTAGTTTAAACAAGACCCTGTTATCTAATTTTATTCTAACTTTTCCATTGGTCTTCACTGTATTCCCAATCTCACATTTTCCCCAATATTTCTTGCTAACATCAACTTAAACTTTCATCTATTATTTAAAAGTATTTGATTTACCATTTCTGATAGATAAGCAGTTTCCACTCACTTTTGCTTATCTAATATATGCTCAGATCTGACTTGACATATGACAAGTACTTGGCAAAGTGTCATAGTAAGGAAGCTCTCTACAATGAGCTGTTGTATTATAGCTGTTGCTAATATAGATTGCTATAAATATGCCATAGTAATCTATGAGTACATAATCACTTGTCACTTGTCACTTGTCATCCTGTTGATCTTTGATTTGCTCGACCAGGCACCAGTAGCATCTCCATTCATCCCTGTCATATGCTAGTGTAACACAATGGCATCTTCTCACTCCAGGAACACGAAAAGACTCAAATAGTTTGTTCAGGATTTTGACGAAGAGTACATCATAATAATCAATATAAAGTAATCTATAGCACCAGCCACAAAATTCTTATATAACCATCTTTGCTTTGTATAACTTTTTTAAGTAGTTTTAAGACTTTTGACCAAAAAAATGGGTATATTGTCCTTAGGAGACAGCTCAAAGTATTGTGTATCTACTTTTCACATGGAAAGTCTGTGTTCAACCCCCAGCATTACAGTTCTCCCAACCAATTCTGCCTTGAGCAACTTTCAAGCATTACACCAAGAGTAGCCTCTCTGCAAAACTGTCACCCCAAACACAAAGGAAAGCAAAAAAAATAGGTAGGTTACTAATGTAAATTTTAAAAAAATTTTATTGGTGAAACACCATGAGGTACAGTTGTAGACTTACAAACTTCTGTGCTTGGGTTTCAGTTCTACAATGATCAAGTACCCATCCCTCCACCAGTGCCCATTCTCTACCACCGATGAACCCAGTAGCCCTCCCCCCACCACCCACCCCACCTCTGTGGCAGGGAATTCCCTTTTGCTCTCTCTTTCCTGTAGGGTATTGTGGTTTGCAGTGAAGTTATTAAGTGGCCATAGTGTTCAGTCTATAGTCTACTTTCAGCATACATCTCACATCCCTAGTGAATCCTCCAAATACCCTTTGCTTGTGTTCTCTTCTCTATCTGAGCTGCCTTTTCCCCCAGTATGTGCTGCTGGCTTCCAAGCCATGGAGCAGACCTGGTAATTATCTCAACTATTCTTGGGTATTCATTTCCTGTTCTGTTACTTATATTCCCCAAATGAGTGCAGTTGTTCTATACCCGTCCCTCTCTTTCTGACTCGTTTCACTTAGTATGATACTTTCCATGTAGAACCACTTGTTTGCAAATTTCATGAGTTCATCATTTCTAACAGCTGCATAGTATTCCATCGTGTATATATATCAAAGTTTCTTTAACCAGTCATCTGTTCTCGGCACTCAGTTTTTTCCAGATTTTGGCTAAGTAATGTAAAATTTTAAGATAAGTAAGCATCCCAGATACTTAATCAATAGCTATTGGCAAGAAAGGCAATGATCTATTAAAGTAAATATCATGAAGACAGATACTAAAATTTTCTACTTAACCAGGAATAGAAAAGGGAAATTAATAGAAAGCTCCATTGTTTAAGATGTATAAATACTGCTTTAATGTAAAGGGAGGTGATACAATTTAATTTTAAAGAATAATTTAATCAACTTTCAAAAAGTTTTCTCCAAAAATATTACCTTCATTGATTCTCCTTAATTAAAACATAAGAGTCTTGATATCCTTACAGAAAATTCTGCTACTAGAGAAACATTCAGAAACAAAGCTATTCTAATTATAAGGGATTCTGTTGCTGTATGACAATCTAATTTAATTTAATGGATGTAAACTAAAGTGGCCTAAATGACCCCACCTTTCAATCCCTTTCATTCTAATGCTGTGAGGCAATGAATAGTGGTGGAGAATTTGTGCTCTGAAATAAGATAGCCTAAGTTGGAATTCCCTTTTCCTATGTATTTCCTGTATATCAGAACTACATAAACATCACTACTCTAATCTTTGGCTGTAAATTCAGGGAAATAAGAGTAATTACCTTATATGATTGTTAGGAAAGAAGTATATTTGCAAATCACTTAGTCACATTGTTAAGGGTGCAACATATTATAATTGACATTCTAACTTTGTTTTGCTATTATTAGTTTTATGTTCATGTCAAACATTTAAGGTGGTTGGAAGTTGGACCATCCTTGGTGCTCAGAGCTACTTTTTGTTCTTCACTCAAGGATCCACCCTGGCAGTGCTGGGGGATTGTGTAGTATGTACAGGACTTCCTATGTACAAAGCATAAACTTTCATTTCTCAGGTCCCTGTCAGACATTTTTATTAGTGACAAGAAGCACCTTTACTTCTCTGAAATAAAATAATTTCATGAACATGATCTTTAATGTTTTGCCATCAGTGATGCTTTCATGAGTATGATAAAGTTTGATCACTTGATCACTTGATCCTCTGTTATTCATCGATTTACTCGAGCGGGTACCAGTAACGTCTCCATTCAATGTTGTTGCATGCTAGCGTAGCCCAATGGCAACTATTCATTTTAGGAACATGCATAGCCTCAAACCGATCATTCAGGGTCTTGATGAAAAAGTCTGACCATCTTGTAGGTGGGCGTCCACGTGATCTTTTGATGTCCCATGGAATCCAGTCAGTAATGGCTCCAGTCCAGCGGTTGTCTGTAAACCTCAGTACGTGTCCAGCCCATTTGATTTTTGATGCCTTGGCAAATGAGACAGCGTCCCTGATTCTTGAGCGTTGATGGAGATCAGAACTCTGGATTCTATCTCTCATTTGAGTGAAGCATGATATTCCAAGCACAGCTCTTTAAATTCCTCTTTGAGAGACCCCAATAGCATTCTCATCCTGTTTTCATAGGGCCCAGGTCTCTGAGGCATATGTTAATGCAGGAAGAACAGTGGAATCGAAGAGATATGCTCATAGGTGGAGGTTCTTTGTACTCTTAGTTATTTCGTCAATGCTCTTGAAGGCATTCCAAGCCGCTCTCTTCCTCCTGCATAACTCAGGTGCAAGGTCATTCATCATGTTGATTTCTCGACCTAGGTATATATAACTGTTACATTCAGAGATGGTGGTTCTGTTGAGAGCAAATGGAGTGTAAGGAAAGAGGCTGTTTCTCATAAACATTGTCTTCGGAAGTAAGATTCAGCTGTAGTCCGACCTTTCCACACTCATGGTCGAAGTCAGTCAGCATTTGTGCTGCTTGGCTGATGTTTGGTGTTATTAGAACAATGTCATCAGCAAAACAGAGGTGGTGTAGTTGCCGACCATCTATCTTCACTCCCATTTCTTCTCATTCCAGTCGTCACATGATGTTCTCGAGGGTGGCACTGAAGAGTTTTGGTGAAATGGTATCACCCTGCTGAACCCCTCTCTTGACATGGATGATTAGTTCTTTGTAGAATGGTGAGATCCTGGTAGAATCCATAATAGAGCTCACAGAGGAGCCTGATGTGTTGAGTCTGTACTCCCTGATTGGCTAGGGCTTCTATGACCGCTTCCATCTCAACAGAATCAAAAGCCTTCTTTAAATCAATGAATGTTGGACAGAGTGGCAACTTGAACTCCTGAGAAACCTCAGTGAGCTTAGTAATCATGTGGATATGGTCGATGGTACTGAATCCTTTTCAGAACCCGGGTTGTTCACATGGTTGTCATTCATCTAGAGTTCTGCTAATTCTATTCAGGATGACTCAAGTAAAGAGTTTGTAGATGACAGACAATAAGCAGATTGGGCGATAGTTGCTAATGTCATGGATGTCTCCCTTCTTGTATAGTAGTACAGTCTTACTGGTTTTCCAATGGAATGGAACCTTGCATTAAGACAGGTAGCATGTGAAGAGCCAAGCCAGTGTATTGATGAGTACTGATGATAAGTCTTCAGGTGTTCAGGTCTGATTTTGTCTGGGCCAGGTGCTCTTTGTTTCTTTACCGACGAGACGGCATGTTGAATTTCAGAAGGGAGAACATTGGGAATGATATATCCACCTTGCAGAATGTGGTATGTGGGCAAGTGGACATGGCTATTAAAGAGATCTGGGTAGAAGTCATGAATAATCTTCTCTATTGCCCTTCTGGAAGATGTGCTAGATCCATGAAGATGTCAGAGGACAGTCATCTTGGTCTTGTAGTTAGTGAAGGACAGGCGGGCGTTACAAATGCTTTTCCCGGCTTCTGCTGCGTCTACCAGCACCACTGTTCTCCTGTCTTTGAGGTCATCCTCGATGGCTTCTCTGCATTCTTTTGCCAGCTCGGATGTTCGCTTGCGGTTGCCTGAGGCATATGCCAAGCCAGTCGGGGAATAAGTTCAAGAGTGTTCGAACAAAGGCGTTTTTTTTGTGGTTATCTCTCTCTTGGCATTCCTCGCACAATCATGGAGGTGCTGAATCATTCGATCGTATTCCTCATCAATGTTGTCAATGACGGCATCTTTTCATGTTGCCACAACAGAGCCAAAGAGCTCCCAGTTGGTGGTCATTCTGGGAGTTCTCTTCTTAAACTTTGAATTCTTTCCTCCCCGTTCTGTGAAGTAGAATTTTGCACGAA